GACAAGATCGATCTTCTCTAATTATTGAGAAACTCTGTCTCACTCATTTAAAGAATTTTTCCATAACACCCCTTTAAAATCTTGAATTTCCCCTTGGGGATCAATAAAGTATCTATCTATCTATCTATCTATCTATCTATCTATCTATCTATCTATCTATCTATCTATCTATCTATCTATCTATCTATCTATCTATCTATCTATCTATCTATCTATCTATCTATCTATCTATCTATCACGTTTTATGTCATGTCTGATCTATATAAATATCTATATATATGGCCGTGGGGACAGTGTTTTTTATATATATGTGTGTGTATATATATATATATACACACACACATATGTATATACATATTAGGCTTGTCCCGATCCGATATCTGGATCGGATCCAGTTTTTTTCTTTAAAAGTCCGATCCCACATTAGCATTAGCATCTCCTAACCCACAGGTCTGTGTCCTAACCATTGAGTTGTTATCAGAGTAAATCCCTGTTCAACATGAGTCTGTCAACTAAGTAAGTAGAATAAATAACTTTAAACTTTAACACATGCTCTGATAGGCCGGGATCGGGATCGGGACATCCTTAAAACATCTTTATGAATTTATAGTATATGTATAAAACTCTGATTTGTGCTCTCTGGGTGTCCCTCCAGTGTTGAGGAGCGGCCAGGCCCTCAGCCCTCTGTACCGGTTCTCTCTGGCCGACGGCACCCTCGTCTCGGCCCAAACGAAGAGCAAACTGGTCCGAGCCCCGGCCACCAACGAGCCGCAGCTCTACATGTCCCTGCACATCCTTCAGAGGTACCCAACCCCTCAGCCACGGCCTTTTAAAGGGGGACACATTATGCAAAACCAAGTTTTTAATCATGTGATTGTGTACATTTGGGACTGTGGAGGGCCTATCAGCAGGCAAGGTGTGAAAAAAAATGACTCAGTCATTTTTTTGTGGGCTGCCTCAGTCTGAATCCAGGTTAGCATGGTAGCGTTAGCATGGTAGCGTTAGCATGGTGGCGTTAGCGTGCCGACGTTGGCACGTTAGCATGCTACTTATGTTTACTCAACTAACAGAAATCTAGATTTTTATAAGCAGTAAATTACACAAACAGCTGTCAGCAGTTGACCATATTTAGTCAGCGACCGACGTACAAACATACACATTTTTCAGAAAAAAGTCAGATAAAGCTCATAATTCACCATTCAGAAACGTCTTGTCGCAGTCTACATTGACCAACTTCTTGGCTAGCTCCTTCTTGTTCAGGGTCTGACTCTGGTTCAAACATATAAGGTTAGACCGAAAAGTTTCCTCCAGCTGCCATGTTTCTCCCAGAGTTCACATTCGGCTGTTAGCATGGTGCGTTAGCATGGTAGCGTTAGCATGCTAGCGTGAGCATGGTAGCGTTAGCATGGTAGCGTTAGCGTGCCGACGTGGGCACACCTCCCGGAAGAAGTGGGTGGATTGCCTGTGTCTCATTTGCATTTAAAGAGACAGGCACTCCAAAGCGAGCGCTCTGAACGGGGCTGTTTTGGGTTAGGGTTAGGGTTAGGGTTAGGGTTAGGGTTAGTCAGGGGGACTGAACTGCTATTGGGCTTCATCCTTATGGGATTTTGACCAAAGCTTGTCACAGACATTACATTAGGACACCAGGGAACTAGCTTAACTTGTTGAAATAGGGTATAATATGTCTCCTATAAGGCCTAACAGCAATAATCTGGATTTATCACATAATAGCAAATAATCAAATATTCAAAAATATGTTGAAATAGGGTATAATATGTCTCCTTTAACGACTCGAGCCCCCGAAGCCCGCCGACTCAGAGATCCGGAAAAGCTAAAAACCAGAAACCTAACTGAGTTTGATGTGTGTTTTTTTTCTCCCCTTTGAAGGGAAAACCTGGCCAACATGGCGGCCGATGTGTCCCCGGGTCAGGACCTGGT